CTTCTTTATGCGGGCTTGGGATCGACAGTCAGACAACATAATTATATTAAAGTCTGGAATTTGTAAGTCATGCATGACACAAACTCGTATAGTTCTGATATTTTCAACAACGGTTTCTTTTCATGAGTTATCATGCCTGCTTCTACACCACCACTGCTTCCATACTGCGCAATATAATATAGGTAGAGGCTTGAAATTTCCCAACATTATTTAAAAATTGATGGATACGGTGAATCACTTGCAGTTAGTGCAAACTTTGATAAATAATTTATTCATGTTTTATGTGATTGTATACCACTCTTTATTTTTTATTTTTTAAGCAACAGTAGTCCTATTTATTTCATAAGTTAATCTTTTTAAGGTACCTAAATTTATTAAGGACTATTATGTATGACAAAAATGTGTACAGGTAAATTGGCGCATTTGAATTTCGTTTATCGGCGCCATTAATACCTTTGAAAAATAATATTTGGCGCAAATGATACAGATTTAAAATAACATTTGGCGCAAATGACACATATTTAAAATAACATTTGCCGCAAAAGGACTGCAGCCGACTTGTAGTAATCACTAAATGAAAAAAAGTTCGGTTAACCGGTTAGCGTTTTTGGTCTTCGATATTAGAGCCTTCCGACGGTTAACTGGTTACCCGGTTAACCGTTGACAATACTATCATAAACATATGATATATGTTACCACCTGAATAATCACTTATTAATGAGTGATGTCTATTTAAGTATGCCGAAATTGTTTCAACACTAAAAATAGTAATGAACACACATTGTTGAATAGTTATAGCTTATGAATTAAAATATTTTGTCTTTTATGTATTGCACTAGTAATTGATCAATGAATCCTCATTTTAAACTCTTAACATAAGTCTAAGTTTGCTCATGTTTATCTAAAGAGTTGCTAGACCAATATTTTCTGAAATTTAGGCACTTTGAAATAAGTCTCAGACAAATGAGCTTATAAATTAGGATATTACGTCTTTTATGTATTGCAATTGTAATTGATCCCTGAATAAAATTGAGAATGGAAATGGGGAATGTGTCAAAGAGACAACAAACCGACCACAGAACAGACAACAGCAGAAGGCCACCAACAGGTCTTCAATGCAGCGAGAAATTCCCGCACCCGGAGGCGTCCTTCAGCTGGCCCCTAAACAAATATATATACTAGTTCAGTGATAATGAACGCCATACTAAACTCCAAATTGTACACAAGAAACTAAAATTAAAAATAATACAAGACTAACAAAGGCTAGAGGCTCCTGACTTGGGACAGGCGCAAAAATGCGGCGGGGTTAAACATGTTTATGAGATCTCAACCCTCCCCCTATACCTCTAGCCAATGCTCGTTAAGATTCGAACCAGTTATTTTTTTTTAAATTACCCTATTACCCAGTATTGCCACTATCACCCAGTAGAACACAGATTTTCCCAGTAATTCCTATTGGGCTTGGCAATACTCATACAACCCGGGTTTTTGCCAACCCTGCACAATATTGCGAGAAACCGAATAAAAATATTAAAATGCACTAACCTTAACAGACAAGGACAACAACATATAAATACATAATATAACCAATCTAAATGAACATTCAGATGATCCCTTCAATTTGGTTGACAGTTGTGTCTTTTTGACATTCTACACTATACTTCCACACGATCTTATTAAAACAAGTTTTCTTGTTTTGTTATGTCATTAACTAAGTGGTCCTTCGAAAAATCTGAGAAGGCAGAATTATTTGCTGCAACTTTTGCAGCCTTCTTCTGTAATGAAAAGGATATATATGCTAAAGATACTTACTGGAAGTGTGATGAGATGATTTAAGCTATAAACTTCCCCCTTGACCACATCGATGTAAGTTTCGGCTACAAAGTTTTTCGACAGGTTGAAGGTATTCCTATGAGCAACGATTAAACCCTTTGATAGCAGACGTATTCCTATATTGTTATGCATCACAGTGTATGGCCAAACTCAGTACCCGTCTAAATTCCATTTGACTGATAAATTAAACTACACTTACAGTTATGTTGATAATATATTTCGTTCAATAATCAAAACCCAAAGGAAATTACTTAAAATAAATCAAATATAATCATCAATTACTGTTCGTCCCTAGATTTAGATAGTTTAATTTCAAACGGGAAAATATATGCAAAAGTGCACGACTATTTGGACGATTTTTCATTTTCCTCTTCTTAATTTGCCTTTTTTGGACGGTGATGTTCAATCTTACGGTGTTTATATATTCCAACTTGTTCGCTATGCCCGTGTCTGTTGAGGCGTAAAAAATTCCAATGAACACAATATATGTATCACTGATAAATTATTCTATCGTTACCCCAAGTTACCTAAATCCTTTACTAAATATTTTTCATAGATACAAAGATTTTCGTTCTGATGTTTGGTTGTACCTGTAGAAAACTTCTTACAAACGGGGATGTTGTTTATAGAGCCCGTAAACTTAGATACGATCCATGTAAACTTATCTATATTTTTTAATAAACGTATTCGAAAGGTTGAACACTGTGATAAGATATTAATTTTGAATTATCTTTTTATCTTATGTTATCAATGATATTATAAATATAATTGGGTTTTCTGCACACTGTCAAATATCAGCCGGGAGCCACATGGAAAACCGTTTTGGCGAGTGTGCTTAGCGAAATAGAAGGAAAAAAACTTCACATTGTGTCCAGCGGCTGATAATTTACTAAATATATACGCAGAAAACAAGATAATCTGTTTATCGTGCTTATGCTGGTCTTTCCCATCACCCTTACACTGTTTTTTTTTCCTTGGCGAAGGTAAGCTTGATTATGTCTCCTCACACATTGTGACGTCGCTGATATAACCTCCTCAGACATTGTGACGTCGCTGATAAGTTCTGCACGCGTCTCAAAGCCTTGATACGAAAATTACGGAGCGACTAAGCAGGGTGATATAGGCGCGGGGAAGTACGACAATAGCTGTTTTTGCTTTGAACTAGCTTTCGGTAAATGCAAGTACTCTCAGATCGGTAATTTGTGTCTAAAGTCTTTTTGTAAGTTTTTTTTTTCTGGTGTACTTTGTGCTGAGTCAAACCTTTTTCAACTAATTTTTATAGTTTGCTTTTATGTTGTGCTTTTAAACAAATGTTCCAGGTTAGGAAACGGGTTGGGTGTTTGACCCCGCCACATTCTGTATGTGTCTGTCCCAAGTCGTGAGCCTGTATGTCAGTGGATGTCGTTCATTGATATAGAATCATGTGCAAAACAGTGTAGCCGAGACCATTGATTGGCGCGCTAAAATATCCCATTGACTGGGTCAGATTAGGTGAACGTTCGTCTGTAACGCCCACAACTCACGACGTATTTATTATAGACATTTAAACTGTGGGGTCACCAAAGGGTCTCAACGCCTAAACAAAATAATTCGAAAAACTAATCAGGAATAACTTTTGTGTTTTGATTTATATTGAATACTTAAACGTTCTTTACTTGTGTTTTCGTTATGTTTTGATAATCAATTTTTATGATATCGCACGTTCTTTCAGCAAAAAAAAAAAGGATTTAACTGGCTTTAACAGTTACAATGCATGTGTTGATTATTGTCTTTTTTTTCCGGACGTCAAAGCGATTTAACAATTGCGGTTGTCCAATTATGTCATCTTTTAACTTTTATCTGGTCAAAATTTTATTTTAGAACGAATGCATGATCAACTTTAGAAAGTGTGCAAACACAAAACATATAGACAAAATATACTTCTTTCCTGTCTTTTTCGTACTTGCAAGTTATTAGACAGTAAAAAGGCTATTTGGATCAAGCCTTGTGAAATTTGCATTTACGTTTTTGAATAGGTAAAATGTATAGTTTGGTGAACTTTTCTGCTAACTACTATACTTGTGAAAAATCCTTGGCAACAGAAACATGTTCAGCGTTTTTTTTAATCGACCCAATTTACATAGTAATTGACGACTTCATTTTATGATCGCAAATAAAATATGTATATAATATACTGTGCATTGTAGTTCGTATATATACTGAGACCCTTTGACAACCCCACAGTTTAAATGTTTATAATAAATACGTCGTGAGTTGTGGGCGTTACAGACGAACGTTCACCTAATCTGACCCAGTCAATGGGATATTTTAGCGCGCCAATCAATGGTCTCGTCTACACTGTTTTGCACATGATTCTATATCCTATTTGTTTTTCGTTTATTGTACATAAATCAGGCCTTTAGTTTTCTCGTTTAAATATTGTATTACATTTTTCATTTCGGGGCTTTTTATAGATTACTGGCTTTGCGGTATGGGTTTTGCTCATTGGTAAAGACCGCATAATGCTAATTTCTATGTCATTTGATCACTTGTGGACATTTGTCCAATTGGCAATCATATCATCTTAGTCTTACATGCATATTATTTTTTATTAGTTGTTATGGCTTTGGACTGAAAAAAACAACACGTTATAAATGTAATGCGTCCGAAGCCTTAAAAATAGCCAAATCCATCTAAGGTCAACTTTGCCTGAGGGAGTTGAAACATCAGTTTCTTTATAATTTCAAAATTTATAATCGGACAATTTTAGAAATGTTTGTTTTAAACCATGTCAGTACTGACTACTGAGCTGATGATACCCTCGGGGACTAACTGCGAGTACTCTCAAATCTGTATTATGTGTCTTTTTTGTTGTGGGGATGTTTATATACCCTGCCACGTCCGATCTGTGTTTTTGTTAGATGTTTTTCAGTTTTGTTTGTTTGTTTGTTTAATTTTCTCGTTTGAATTGTTTTACAATTGACATTGGGGTTTTTATAGCTGACTGTGCGGTACGGGTTTTGCTCATTGTTGAAAGCCGTACGGTGACCTATAATTGTTAGATTCTTAGCTTCTATGTCATTTGGTCTGTGGTGGAGAGTTGTCTTATTGGCAATGATACCCCATCTTCTTATGTTCATATATATACATCTTGGTTCTCATTCTTAAACTAGCATTATTTTTTTCAGGATCAAAGCATGTACCAGTATATAAACCTATGAATAAGATTCCAACATCATATATATCCAAGAAAAGTTATCCGGCACCCTATAAACCGAAAGGCTATCATCCTACGAATAGTTATCAGCCAACATATGGATCAAAGACAAACTATCCGCCAATATATAAGCCAGTTGCAAAGAAGCTATCATCATACAAAGCTATTAAGACAACGTATCCGGCCTATAAAGCAAAGACAAGTTATCCACCAGTTTATAAACATAAGATAACTAATCCTCCAACATATAAACCTAAGATTACTTATCCCCCAACATATAAACCAAAGCCAAGTTATCCTCCAACATATAAACCAAAGCCAAGTTATCCTCCAACATATAAAGCAAAGAAAACTTATCCTTCAACATATAAACCAAAGCCAAGTTATCCTCCAACATATAAACCTAAGATAACTTATCCTCCAACATATAAACCAAAGCCAAGTTATCCGCCTTCATATAAGGCAAAGAAATCATATCCTTCAACATATAAACCAAAGCCAAGTTATCCTCCAACATATAAAGCAAAGAAAACTTATCCTCCAACATATAAACCAAAGCCAAGTTATCCTCCAACATATAAATCTAAGATAACTTATCCTCCAACATATAAACCAAAGCCAAGTTATCCCACTTCATATAAATCTAAGAAAACTTATCCTCCAACATATAAAACTAAAATAACTTATCCACCAACATATAAACCAAAGCCAAGTTATCCACCATCATATAAACCTAAAACTACATATCCTCCAACATATAAACCTAAGATAAGTTATCCTCCAACATACAAACCAAAAGCAAGTTATGTGTCATCATATAAACCAAAGCCAAGTTATCCTCCAACATATAAACCTAAGATAAGTTACCCTCCAACATATAAACCAAAGCCAAGTTATCCTCCAACATATAAACCTAAGATAAGTTACCCTCCAACATATAAACCAAAGCCAAGTTATCCGCCTTCATATAAGGCAAAGAAATCGTATCCTTCAACATATAAACCAAAGCCAAGTTATCCTCCAACATATAAACCTAAGATAACGTATCCTCCAACATATAAACCAAAGCCAAGTTATCCGCCTTCATATAAGGCAAAGAAATCGTATCCTTCAACATATAAACCAAAGCCAAGTTATCCTCCAACATATAAACCTAAGATAACTTATCCTCCAACATATAAACCAAAGCCAAGTTATCCTCCAACATATAAACCTAAGATAACTTATCCTCCAACATATAAACCAAAGCCAAGTTATCCGCCTTCATATAAGGCAAAGAAATCGTATCCTTCAACATATAAACCAAAGCCAAGTTATCCTCCTACATATAAACCTAAGATAACTTATCCTCCAACATATAAACCAAAGCCAAGTTATCCTCCAACATATAAAGCAAAGAAAACTTATCCTCCAACATATAAACCTAAGATAACTTATCCTCCAACATATAAACCAAAGCCAAGTTATCCCACTTCATATAAATCTAAGAAAACTTATCCTCCAACATATAAACCTAAAATAACTTATCCACCAACATATAAACCAAAGCCAAGTTATCCACCATCATATAAACCTAAGATTACTTATCCTCCAACTTATAAACCTAAGAAAAGTTATCCTCCAGCATACAAATCTAAGGCAAGTTATCCCCCTTCTTATCAACCCAAGAAAACTTATCTGCCATCATATAAACCTAAGAAAACTTATCCTCCAACATATAAACGTAAGATAAGTTATCCACCAACGTATAAAACAAAGCCAAGTTATCCAGCATCTTATAAACGTAAAACAAGTTATCCATCAACATATAAACGTAAGACAAGTTATCCTCCAACATATAAACCTAAGATAAGTTATCCTTCAACTTATAAAACAAAGCCAAGTTATCCACCAACGTATAAACCAAAACCAAGTTATGCATCATCATATAAACCTAAGATACGCTATCCACCTACGTATAAACCAAAACCAAGTTATGCGTCATCATATAAACCTAAGATAACTTATCCTCCAACTTATAAACCTAAGATAAGTTATCCGCCTACATATAAACCGAAAATAACTTACCCTCCTTCATATAAACCAAAGATCAGCTATCTTCCAGCATATAAACCAAAGATTAGCTATCCATCACAATATTAAAAGTAATAACATAAATATATACATTACTGCACTCTACATATTTCTTACGTTTTTGTTGATGTGGAACAGCTTAAGATGTAAAAGTAATGTTTAACCGGTTAAGGATTTGTAATATTCAATCTTTATGTTTGTGAATTGGTTATGTTCTTCAAGTATTGTTTAAAATAAACGTTTATTCTCTTATAGTTGTTGCCTGTTATCTTTTTCTCACACGAACAATTCAACTGATAGTTCTCGTATCACACTTAACGGAGTGTGTTATGAATAATTTATACGAAAAATGTGTTAACTTGGTTGGCCTATCCTGCAATGTATCATTACGAAATTGTGACATTTCCATTGATATTAGTAAGACCAACGTTGACTTTCAAAGGTCACATTTCTTTCTCGTCAACATAGATTTATGATTTCTTCAATAATATACAAAACACTGACATGTTTTACCATACAATAATGTTGACTTGTCAAATGGATTTGTGACCCAATTTTCCAATACCGTAAGTAATAGTTGAAGTGGAGCTTGCAAAATCGAAAATATTTCACAGGGACAAAAATATTTTTTACCATAAGAGAAATAGGTTTGTTTTGCTCATTGTTGAAGGCCGTACGGTGACCTATAGTTGTAAAATTCTATGTTATTTGGTCTCTGTTAGAAAGTTGTCTCTATTGTAACATCATCTCTGCAGTTTGCCAAAATCAGTGCACGTCTGAATACAAGTTCTGGATTTATGTGACCTGAGATTATTTCCCCCGATTTACATTTAAGGTTTGTTTTTGAGGTCATGTTTTCAAACGTTTTTAGTTTCGACTTTGATATTGGACTATAAAAACTGCCTGACTGACCTACAGAAAGAGCACTAGTGATGAAATGTCTAGACATGTTCAAGCATTCCTCGACAGCTGTTAGCAAAGAATCTTGAATATCTCTTGTAGCATGCATTCCAGAAGAGATATTGATAAGACATGGAGGATGTGATTCCACATCAAAGGGATCAGTCATGGTTTCAGTCAGATGGTTCACAATGGCTATAACATGTTCTTCATCTCTTTTCATTGCTGTTGGTTTTGTTTCCTCGTGTGAATTTGCATTATTTGCAGCAATTCCAGCCCTATCCAGCATTACACCACTAAGGGATGCTAGGAAATATCTGGTAAGTGTCCATCTAACAAGCGCAGACTTTTGATTTGTTATGCCTACAATGCCACCTGATCCCTTTGAGTCTTTCATAACTGTCTTTTCTGTTGCCATGTCGGTCCATATACCGTTAAAATGTCCAGGAGTCTGTCTAATAGCAAAACCGCCATCTATAAAAACTGATCGAATATTCTCAGGAAGTTGAAGCATATCGAGTATGTAAACTGGCATCCACCTTGAGGAATTGGTACAGTTGGTTACAAATAAATAAGGTAACATTTGAGATGACGATCTCAAATGAAGTGACCAATTACTCTCTCGTTCTGCTCTAACATTTGATAGCAAAATTTCTACAGCTTCAAGAAACATATCCCAGCATTTGAATGTAGGTGATGCAGCACATCCCCATTGCTTATATGTATCTATGAGAGGCTGTATATGAGCTTCGAAAAGCTTCGTCATATAAAGCGTTAGGCCTTGTGTCTGGCTTGAATTGTTGGAAATACCACTGTGAAACTCCAACAAAGCATTCCAAAAAACTTCAGGAATTTTATCAAAGTGATCAGCGGTCCTACACCAGTGTATAAATGAAGAAACAAACAATATTTTTAAAGCTTCTAAAACTATTGTGAAACCCCTGACAGCCCTGTTAAATTGCTTCCCAGTCAACATTTGTTCGGCTGTACTATCAGAATAAACACCCGAATCAACCAACAAATCTCGCAGACCTCCATTTGCCCATAACTTCCCTAATGATGTTATGAAACACGATAGTGTATGAAAACCACCAAGTCTTAGAATATGAGATTCAATAATATCAGGCCTTAACCATTTTACCTGCATAGAGCTGCTGATCAAATGTTTGAATGGCATGTGCCTGTCCTGCTTCATTCGACATATCAAGACACTTCTTCATAGCAGTGAATACTGTAGACATATCAGTGGGTTTAGCATCTATTATTGGAGGATATGTGACAACTGCAACGTTTGTACTCTTTTCAGACAACAAACAATTCAAACCTGTCCAGAAAGGAACTGTTTGTCCTGTTCCTTGGTTATGGACTGGAAAGTCCATAATATCTCTCGACAGAAGTCATAAGAACACCCAAATATCATCGACAGTATTGACTTTGCCATTAACACACAACTGAAGTTGATCAAATGGGGTTATACGACGAGGCGGTTCCGCTCTTACTTTTGGTTTATAGAAGGATAAAGTATTTATCAGAGAGGCTGTAGTGTCATCCATAGAAAGAGATCTGTCTTGACCGCGTTTGATGCGAGTCAAATTTTCAAGGGGATCATTAAAGGACTTTGTTTGAAACACGGCTCTAGATAAAGAGTGGAAAGTGTTATTACCATCTATAGTTTCTGTATTAATGTCGATGTTATCTGAGCCCTCCTGAATCAGACGACCTCCCTGCAAAATAGAACGAATGCCCCCAGGAATGTAGCGGTCATCATTGATTTGAATAATCTCATGGTTTGTCACACTTGTAAGATATCTGCGTAGTTAAGTGTAAGTGGCACAAAATCCATTGGCGTTAAGAATTTCAACAAGACGGTTTGAGCCGAACTCATGATATACTTGTACGGCTAATCCAAGATGAAAATGTGTAAAAATATTCCTATTACTAGCAACAATGCATTCTGTTAATGCCAAACATTTTCTCAAGTTGTCGGTCTGTATATCAGACGGGTCAACCCCATTTTTAAAACCCTTTTCATCAACGAGCCAGTAGAGAAGCTTAACTAACGAATGTGGCATTGACCCGTATGAATGAGCAAGAGAGGCCTCAATTGAAGTAGGATATTGCTCAATTGAAAGTTCAACCTTTTCAATTTCACTACGAATGATTTAGGCAACGGAATGAATAAGTTGCTCTTCTGTTGGCTCCCTTTGTTCACTCAAAGAATTTTGTGTTTGGGACCATTTTAATTCAACTTTAAGATTAGCAGCTGCTTTAACATCGTCCCCAATTGTAATTGAACTGCTAAACATAATGTTTGACATGCCCTGACCTTGTTGTGTTTGTATGACGACAGAACTGCCGTAATGATTTTCCAACCAGCGTTGAAGTCTGCGAGTTGTAAAACTTTTAGCTACATTTTCAGGAAAGTAAAAGAAGAATATTTCCAATAATGATGTTAATAGAAACGCTTTTTTGTTCTCCATTAAATCTTTCCTAATTTCTGAAACGAGCTTTGAAAAGGCAGTTTGGTAGTCAGAAATGTTTTCTGAACATGGTTCTTCGTCAACCTCTTTTATCCCTACTAGATATTTTGTAATACACTGGTTGTGATAAAATGCCTTTTCTTTAAAGTCTACCTGACTGATTTTACTAATCAAATGAAAATCAGAGTAGTGGTTGGCTGCACTCAGTATACGACCTACTCTGTCATCTGACTCGATTTTGATGAGTTTCTTATCTTTTTTGTAACTTTTGTTGTTACAAATAATGAACGCATTCCAATCGATTTGAAATGATTGTGAACGAGAAGGTGCACCGGGGACTCTACTTTTTGTCTCTCCGTCTTATTCCCAACAGACACAGAAACGTTGTGTATAGGATGTATAGCAACATCTGTGGTAAACCATATTCAAAGAGTCCACAGGAATTTCAGCAAACCCGACCCATACTCTTCAACAAATTGCTGGCAGATTCCATCATTACGTCTTTCAACGGAAATAAAGAAGCTACATTTACTCTTAACAGTAAAGGAAGTGACTGATTCATTACTGCTTCTTTGGCAAACGATACACTTTTCAAAATTAAAACACATTTTTGGCCTTTTTGAACTACTAGGACCTAATCGTAAAGAACTTTCTAATTCAGACATTTTCCGGATAATTACAGGTCCAAATCCAGATTTGGTTCTTAATTTTTTAATTATATATAAAGAAAAGAAAAACAAATCAAAAACCTTAAGGATGTTCGCTACTCTGTTTCAAAATAACAAGCTTTTTCAAAAGACTGTTATAAATTGATAGTATATATAGTCAAACATGTTTTAGGATATTGGCATCGTTTAGAAAATATTGGCTCATCATTTCCCTTGTTAAAAGCTGCATATAATTGTTCTAAAAAGCTATTTGAAACAAAAAAGCCCTCTTGGTATGGATCAATTAATATTTTAAGGGAAAAAATGTCAGGCATAGAAAAGCATATTCCTGAAAAATATTCAACATTTAAATTACACTGTGGTCAGATTGTTAAGGGATACTATACTACATTGTGGAAAAAACAGCTAGATATACATAAAGATGGTAAACTACGAACTTATGTAACATTCAAGTGCAACTTCGGTTTTGACAATTATTTGTCAATAATGCGACATTTTGAGCAAAGGAAATGTATAACTAGATTAAGAATATCTGCTCACAAATTGCAAATTGAATCTGGTAGATACCAGGGTACTCTTCGACAAAACAGAATTTGTCTCAGGTGCACCTCTGGTGAGGTTGAGGATGAAGTTCATTTTTTATTTAAATGTGACACTCATTTATTAAAAAGAGAGGAAGAAAACCTGTATGTTCGATTTTGTAGTGTATATTTTGTTTCAATGCACAGGTCGAAATAATGCTTCTGGTATGAATTAATTTGATATTGTTGTTTAATTAAGGTTTGAAATATCATATAAATGTTGATTATTTTACATTTTGCGTAAAAACAAATGATGAAATTGAATTGAAACGTACTCTATTAAATGCAAAATATTCGTAGTGTTAAACTTTTACAAAAACTCTTCAATAACGGATTAATTTTGCTAAACTTTGTTTGAAATCGTTAGAATAAGATGTAACAACAATATATATAATATCAGAAAGCATATCACGAATGTTCTTTTAGAATGCAGACCTAAAAACTTTTCAGTCAATTTTTCTTTAAATTAAGTATCCTACTTCAAAGCCCATTTTACAAAAAAATGCACCGTACGATTTTTTGACGACAAGTCAATATGTAAAGTTTAACCTTTGAACTACCAATACTGTGATTTATAGCCGTATAGTCCGAATGACAATTAAACTCTGTAAATAAGCGACTTT